CACTGTTCCAGAACAGTTCAACCCAAATATTCATTTTTGTGCAGTGCATTTTATGGAGGACTGTTTCCTGATCCTGGTAGAGTAGACTACAATGCCGGCTGTTCTGACTCTAAGACTGTAAATACGTTTTTTTAGATTTAAAGGATTTGCCACTGATGATTGAAACGCGAGTTTTGGGCAGTGTAGAGTAGCGGTTGTAGTTTGTAATTTCTCAGATCACAAATGCAGACATGGTTTTATGTTTACGCGGCGCGATGCAATGCAACGCGTAAAAAGACAGTATAAGTCATTATAATCCGTAATTATGTCCCCACTGGATGCAACAAATGCCTCGTTTATAATGGGTTTTAATGTTTTTGTCTCGTCGCTCCGGCCGGACACGGCATCATCACAGTATGGTAGTGGCGTAACATTTCTGTCACACGCTTGAGGTATTCGGCCAATCACAACGCACTGGATAGCTGGCCAATCAGAGCACACCTCGCTTTTCAGACCGATGAGCTTTGTTAAAATAGGTGTGTTTCAGAAAGGCGGGGCATAGAGGAGAAACAATAATGTACAGTATGTGGAAAATAATGTGTTTTTTTAACCTTAAACCGCATAAACACATTACATCTTAGATCTCATTACACCAAATACACAAAATAATGTTCTTATAACCCCTTTAAGCTCCAACTTTCAGAGTTGGTCAAGTGTTTATCAAAAAATAAAGTTAGTATTATTACTATAAAGATTGTTTTTTTTATTATAATAAGAATATTGACAGTACAGTTAAATGTGACTCTGCTTACATTTCCGCAAAACTGCAAAAAGGTACCTATACATACATTTCACTGCAGTTTCCAGATGAAATGAACACTAGAGGCAGTAAACGCCAACAACTTTTGTTCCTTTTCACACAAATTATGATTACGCGGCAGATTATTGATGAATAAATGCTTATCTTTGCATGTTTTCTTGCACAGTACTCTGTTATGAATACAGAATACTTTTACCATACTGCATTATTTGTAAACTAATACATTTTGACATTTGCATCACATAATCAGCTCCATATGTGTGGAATTTCTGACGCAGTAAACTTGCTCGGTAGCGCACCTGGTAAAGCAATTAGCAAGCTAAAATGGCATGCTTGCTTCAGCAAATGTGTTTTTATCTCACATTTGCTTTTGTAAACAATATTGGTTAGATTTCATTGACGAAATGCCATGATATGTACAACAACCAATGTAATAAAACATTGCCACCGTCACATTTAACTTTTTCAGAGACATTTGAACACACTATTTAGCATCGGACTCTAGAACGTTCTATTTGAAAAGAAAAATTATACAGCGCCTCTTGTAGACATGTCATGTGAAAAATGCATTAAAACATATCTGGAACAATGTATTTCTGGTTTTGCTATTTGCACATTTCAGGAAATTTGGGCATAGTCATGTATTTCGTGGGCTTATTCACCACCGTGAACCATTTTTTACTATTTGCTATTGCTAATGGTGGCAAATAGCATATTTCATGTGGTCTTTAAATTCATATTCTTCGGACTCTAGAACGTTCTATTTGAAAAGAAAAATTATACAGCGCCTCTTGTAGACATGTCATGTGAAAAATGCATTAAAACATATCTGGAACAATGTATTTCTGGTTTTGCTATTTGCACATTTCAGGAAATTTGGGCATAGTCATGTATTTCATGGGCTTATTCACCACCGTGGACCATTTTTTACTATTTGCTATTGCTAATGGTGGCAAATAGCATATTTTATGTGGTCTTTAAATTCATATTCTAAACCCTGAAATATTCTAACACTTCAAACCTGAGGATAAAATAGCCACACTTACACAAAACAATCAAATAGACCCCAAAAGCAGAGCTTATCATAAAGCCTAAACCATAAGACAGCAGTATTTTGTTGTGTATTTTGCATCACTAACTGTGGGGTGAAACTGGTACAAAGGCAGTGGCTTTATTCTTGAGGATGCAGGGTCAGATTGAACATTTGTCCCTACATCAGGCAACTACAGTAAAATAAAGACATCTGTGCATATATGCTGTGTAAAGCACTACATAAGCTATTGCTCTTTAATACTACAGGCGTCGTGCTGCTCGAACCCATGCGAAACATTCCAGCGGTCTCTCGTTACACACAAAGCAGGGAGTCTGTGAAGGTAACATAACAAAACAATGCTATGCTATGAAACGGATGGCGTAACACACCTCAGAGCACTAGTGACCAGCCATGAGAGGCTGTGTCTGAATGTGGCCACTGATCTGAGGCCTGCTGGGGTGGTTTTTCTGTCCATCCTGTGGATTGAGCTCACGGTACAGGACAAGATGTAGTCATGTTGGTGGTCTTTCTGCCTCTTCTATACTACAGGCGTCGTGCTGCTCGAACCCATGCGAAACATTCCAGCGGTCTCTCGTTACACACAAAGCAGGGAGTCTGTGAAGGTAACATAACAAAACAATGCTATGCTATGAAACGGATGGCGTAACACACCTCAGAGCACTAGTGACCAGCCATGAGAGGCTGTGTCTGAAAGTGGCCACTGATCTGAGGCCTGCTGGGGTGGTTTTTCTGTCCATCCTGTGGATTGAGCTCACGGTACGGGACAAGATGTAGTCATGTTGGTGGTCTTTCTGCCTCTTCTAAAGAAATGACAAAATGACAAAATCACTCAATGTACTGATAACCTATTTGGACTCGGCTAACAAAAAGAAGACAAAAACAAATCGCAAGGTCCCAAAAGTTTAAAAAGTCACAAAATGTGAATTAAAAATAATATTTAGACCGTGAAAATAGAATTCACACTGGGGGAAAAAAACAAAACGGTAATAATATCCTTGAGATATTAAAGCTTTTTAGAGAATGTACACTAATGTTCAGAAGTTTAGGATTAGAACGAGTTTGTTGTTGTTGTTTTTTTTTTTAAAGAAATTAATACTTTTGTTCACTAAGGTCGCATTAAATTATCAAAAGTGCCAGTAAAGACATTTATAATGTTACATTTACAGTTTTCTATTTCAAATAAATGCTGTTCTTTTGAACTTTCTATTCATCTGTGAATCCTGAAACATAAAATGCATCACGGTTTCCACAAAAATATTCGACAGCACAACTGTTTTCAACATTGATAATAATCAGAAATGTTTCTTGAGAAGCAAATCAGAATATGTGACCCTGGAGCACAAAAGCAGTCTTAAGTCGCTGGGGTATATTTGTAGCAGTAGCCAAAAATACATTGTATGGGTCAAAATTATCGATTTTTCTTTTATGCCAAAAATCATTAGGATATTAAGTAAAGATCATATTCCATGAAGATACTTTGTAAATTTAATACCGTGAATATATCAAAAATGAATTATCATTAGTGATGTGCATCGCTAAGGACTTCATTTGAACAACTTTAAAGGTGATTTTCTCAATATTTTGTTTTTTTTTGTACCCTCAGATTCCAGATTTTCAAATAGTTGTATCTCGGCCAAATATTGTCCTATCCTAACAAACCATATGATTTTTCTTTTATGCCAAAAATCATTAGGATATTAAATAAAGATCATGTTCCATGAAGATATTTTGTCAATTTAATACTGTGAATATATCAAAAATGAATTATCATTAGTGATGTGCATTGCTAAGGACTTAATTTGAACAACTTTTAAGGTGATTTTCTCAATATTTTGTTTTTTTTTGTACCCTCAGATTCCAGATTTTCAAATAGTTGTATCTCGACCAAATATTGTCCTATCCTAACAAACCATACACCAATGGAAAGCTTATTTATTTCAGCTTTCAGCTTTCAGATGATGTATAAATCCCAATTTCAAAAATTGACCCTTATGACTGGTTTTTTGGTTCAGGGTCACATATTAGAATGATTTCTGAAGGATCATGTGACACTGAAGACTGGAGTAATGATGCTGAAAATTAAAAAAAAATGATTACATTTTACAAAATATTCACATAGAAAACAGCTACTTTAAATTGCAATAATATTTCATAATATTACAGTTTTTAATGTATTTTTAATCAAATAAATTAAAATAAACTGCCAGATTTCTTTCATTTGTTTTAACCATATCCTAAAACAATTTTATATTTAGATATTTTTATGACATAAAATATGGTTTTTATGAGCGGTGAGTTTAACCTGTAGGTGAAGGTGAGTCGATGTCGGCAGAGAAATGCTCGCTCCCTAATGCTGCAATAGAGCTCCTGGGTCGAATGCACCTCTCACCAGAGAAACTTCTGCGTAGCAATGCCTATATCAGCACAAAAACAGAGTTACTTTATAAAAATCAATCTGAGCAGTGACACGCAGGCACAAGAAACATTTGGAGCATCTCAGTTTTGTACTGTATGTATGAAAGCGGTTGGTTAGTTAGCGGTTAGCTGGTGTACCTTGCGTGTCAGCGGGCTGCTGGGAGCCGAAGCGCTGCTGTATAAACTCAGGCTGGAGTTAGATCTGCTCACGGTCAGGCCTTTAGCGCTGCCTCTGCGGCCCGACGCCTCGAACGCGTCCGGAGAGAGATACTTCTCCTTTATCTTCAGGTTTGTGCGTCCCTTTACTGTGTGTGCAGAAGGAATGATGCATAAAAGTCTTTACTGACACTACAAATAAAATAAATGCATCCTTGCTAAATAAGTATTATTAATAAGCAGGAAATAGGAGTTTACTTAAGGGGAAAAATCGTAGTTAATAGTGAGAATTGGTCTGAAGTGTGACCCATTAGATAATATTACAAGCTGTCAGTATATTGTTTGTCCTCTGATTTCATCTACAATAAGCAGCTTTTGAATTATTGTGAGATATTCACCTCTACAGGGGTCATTCTTCACTAGAAACTCATCTAATGCTGTCCATCCACCACCAACTCGAACCATCAGAGAGCTTCTGAGAATACGAACCATCCGCAACTGCTGAGAGTCTCCAAACTGGTGAAAATCGCAGATTTTAATGAAAAACATCATATAATATCATCAGGCATGCAGTCATGAATATATAGCTGTGCTGCTCCATTTACACCTGGTATTAACATCTGATTCGAGCATGCATATACTCGTTGGTTCTGGTTTTAGTCCATTTAGTCCAGGTCCGTTTAGCGTTCACACTGAGTGACATCTCCTGTGATGAAGTATGCTTGAGCATTCTGTGCTTTTTAGGATTGATTGGTTCATTTAGATGTCTTTGGTCCACGTTATGTTCATATATCAGTTAAACCACACCAGAGTTAGTTTGAAAGCAGACTGAGACCCATCTTTTCTGCTTGTTTGGTATGCACCAAGGTTTGGATGGCAGTGTTCACATGTATTCAAATGGGGATCTATGTCACCTGATTACTTGTGATCAGATCACGCAAGACCAGGTGTAAATACCAGATATAAACAACATGATTGGTACCTAGATTTTCACTCACCCTGTAGCGATTTGCACTAATTTGCTCTACTAGAAATCTCTTTGGACAGTTGCATTGAGAGACCTGACGACTCACCTGCAGAATTGAGTTTTTTGTTAGTCGTCTTACAGAAATACTCAATGTAGATAGAATGTAGAAACAGAACTGCACACACCTCCTCATTGATTTGGTCTGCATCTATTGTCTTTCTGTAAGGGTCTCGGCTTGGATGGAGGGCACTCACAAATTCGTAGTAGTCAATGAATCCATCAGCGTTAACATCAAATATGTTAGCCACCGCAGTCATTTCCAGGGAGTTAGTGGGAAATTCTGTACATGTGCAAAGTCAAATATTGCAAACAGTTACATATATACCCATACTATTATTACCCATGTATTAAGAGTGATATTGCCATATACAGTATGTTACGACAAGGCGCTATATAATTTTCACATACGTTCTCTGGGTGGATGAAGAAATGCTTATAACATATATAAAATCTCCATAGTAAAATTTGTTTATGTACATGGGTCAAAGACGTTAAGATGTCCGCATCAAAAGAAATTTACAAAAGTGATTATATGTCCATAGAAAGCATATTAAATGTAAGTAAAGTGTCTACTTTTAAGGTTTTAAATAAGTTTTTGGAAAATAAAATGTCAAAATTTGGTTGAAATAATGTTACATTGTCATTCAGTGTAACACAATATTTATGTAAAAATTCAAACAACATGCTTATTCTGACGTGTACATGTTAAAATATATAAAAGAATAAGGGAGCATATTAAATTTTATTGTGTTTAAAATTAGTAAAAATTCTTACTGACAAATGGGCAACACCTAGGATAGTGGCAAATTTTAAAAATGTAAAATTACAACTAATTAGTATTTGGGGTGAAATTATTTTTTTTTAATATGTCCATAAATTGATTTTTGTTGTAAATATGCCTGACAAGATTGTTACACTGAATGACATTTTAGTGGGTCTCTTCTGTAAATCAGGGGAAAATGTATGATATTTATTTTTTGCTCGGAAAAAAATTAAAATTGCAGTTAAATTAAATAGAAAAACAACAACAATTTAACGCAGTATTACACTTATTGTTTTTATGCTTAAACCCTTTTTCATCTTTGACCCACATATATTAATGATCTCTGTATGATGATGTTTATGTAGTATTACATGTAGCAACCATATATGTCAGCAATATATATATGCACAAAAAATATGTTTGTTTATATATGTTTTTACAAATTTTTTTTTTGTAAATAAGTGCGTATTTTTTCATATTTACTTGACTGGTTTTAGGATGGATATAAAAAATCGGAAAAAGTATTACATGTACAGTACATAAACATACATATTTCTATGAGCCTTTTATATGTATGTAT